TTTAAGGTCTTAGGTATGGCATGGGATAATTCAAAGGATTTACTGTATTTTGATGTTTGAAACCTATTGTCTTTCACATCTAAACCAATAGAAACAAAACGATTTTTTCTACAAGTGTTGGGTCGGATATTCGATCCAATTGGAATTTTAGGATCTTTCACTGTTAGAATAAAATGCTTAATACAGAAGATTTGGTTTTCACATATAGATTGGGATGAACCATTGCCTGAAGATTTGTCCTATGAATGGAGAAAGTGGTGTGAAGAGCTACCTCAAAAGGCTGAATTCTCCATCTCTCGTTATTTTTTCATGCCCTCGAACTTAAATGTCAAAAATCTCGAATTACATTGGTTTTCAGATGCAAGATTTTCAAAGCCTATGGTTCAGTTGCATATTTATGTTTCATGACAAAAAATAAAGAAATCAAAATGGCCTTTGTCTCTTCTAAAAATAGGGTAGCCCCACTAAAATCCCTTACTGTACCGAGGTTAGAATTAATGGGGGCATTGTTATCAGCTAAGTTAGTCAGCAATATTCTGAAAGCACTGAAAATTACGTGCTATTTTTGAAAAGATTCAACAAGTACTTACTTGTTGATCAAAAAACAACCTGAAGCCTTCAAACCTTTTGTCAAGAATCGTGTCGAAGAAATACAAAAATTGAGGTCACCTCAAGACCTCAAGATTGACGTTATTGCCCAGGTGTCGACAATCTTGCAGTTCTTGTATATATTTCGGGGAGCGAAGATTTCCAAGTTAATAAACGAGACCATTTTGATGCAAGGTCCCCAGTGGCTTCAACTCTCTCACGAGCTTCAGCCAAGATTAAGTATTAAAGAAAGCATAGGTGAAAACAAACTGGAATACCAAAAGGGATCCGGTGATATACATCAACTTGAATGTACAATCGAAAAAAGTACAGATGATCTTTTGGACATATCAAAATATAGCAAATTAGAGAAGGTGTTAATTAGAGTCACTGCTTGAGCAACACGTTTCATTAGAAAATTAAGAAAAACTAGTGATATTCAAGGATTTCTCACAGCTTAAGAGTTACAAGAAGCTGAAAATTTTTTTGATAAGATCAGAGCAAAAGAAGTTTTTTGCAGAAGAATATAAATCCCTCAAAGAAGGTAATTTGGTTAGAAAAAATTCTCCTTTGTACAATTTTCTTCCTTATATTGATGAAAAAGAAGTCATGAGGTTGAGAGGAAGATTTGAATTTTCTGACTTCTCACTAGATAACAAGCATCCAATAATTCTACCTAAAACTTCTCGACTAACGATTCTAATTGTACGCAAAGAACATGAGAAGATAATGCATGGAGGAATTGCTGCAACTTTAGCTAAAGTCAGATCATGTTTCTGGATTCCTAAAGGACGACCAGTTAGTCAAAAAAAACATTAAAAGGGTTGTATGATTTGCCAAAAATATTTAGCTAAACCAGCAGACCAGATGACAGCACACCCTTACCAAAGGAAAGAATCCAAGAATCACGTCCGTTTGCAGTCTGTGGAATCGATTTCGCCAGACCAGTTTACGTAAAGAATTCTAAAGACACTTGAAAATCCTATATTGTTTTATTTGTTTGTGCAGTAACTCGAGCTGTACGCTTAGAACTTGTATCAGATATGTCAACAGAATCCTTTTTACTTGCATTTCGTAGATTTTTGAATAGAAGAGGAAACTGCGTAATCATATATTATTCTGACATCGCCAAGACCTTTGAGAGGACAAAGAAAGAACTTGAGAATTTTTCAAAAGTTTTAAAAGATGACTAATTCAAGAATTTCATTGCTAAAGAAAGAATCCATTGGAAATTTATAATCGAGCGAGCCCCATGGTGGGGAGGGTTTTATGTCAGATCTGTTAAAGAATATTTAAGAAAAATCATAGGAAAAGCATTGTTGACCTTTGAAGAAATGTCTACACTACTCGTCGAAGTTGAGTTCTTAATTCACGACCTTTAAGTGACGTTTACAACGACAATGATGAGCCACAACCCCTGACTCCAATGCACTTCCTAAACATTGGACAAACTGATATGAAGTATCCTTTGACTTTTGCTAGAATCATCGGTAGCGATACGACAAGAGACACGCTGTTAAAAAGAAAGCATTATCAAGAATTGCTGTTAAAACAATTGTGGTGCAAATAGAAGCAACAATATTTGTTAGATCTTAGAACTGCCCATTTCTTGAAGAATCCAAAACTTCAATCGGAACTAAAAGTAGGAGATGTTGTTTTAGTTGAAGGAGATAATAAAAACAAACTGTTATGGAAACTTCGTAGAATCATAAAAACTATTCTTGGACATGATCGTAAGGTCCGATCATTCCAATTAAAAACCGATAATGGGACTTTAAAATGTACTGTTCAACATCTATATCCTCTTGAACTTTAGATATTTTGAATAATGATTTAGTTATGCATTTTTCTTTTTTTTCCTATTAATGATTAAATTGTATATCGTTAGTTAAGTTTGTTTAGTTAAGTTGAAAATATTTAAAAAATTTAGTTCATTTATTAGTTATAACATTTAATATTTGATACATGCTGTGTATAACCTTTTTTGGAATTGAAGTGTTTGACTAATAAGTATTTTTTGTATTTTTATAGAATAGTTAACTTGATTGTATGTATAACTGAGTTAGATGAACTCTTCTCAGAGTTCAAGTGGGGAGTGTGTTAAGGAATATTATTTGATATCGCCAAGAGATGGCATTAGGAGTCCATCTGTTGGCTTACTTAAACCTTCCCCTTCTGAACACATGACTTGGAAAAATATTCTTCTTGTTGAAGGTAGAATTTCAATGCACTACGCAATAGAATTCGATTTAGATGGAACTATTCAGTTCTTGCTTTTTGAGCCTTAATATTCGATTCAGGCATTTTAGCGTACATTGTATATATAAATATTAAATTTAATTAAAATTTATGTAAAACCCTCCAGGCCATGCATCTCATTTTGGATTATGAGTGATTTGCATTTGATATAGAATTTTTGTTTCAGAGAAAGCTAACTCGGAAATATCTCTGATCTTGTGCTGAACTCGCAACAGTAACAACTTATATAGTATAAATAATGTCATAAAAATAGTGTAGTGTAATGAGATTATTACTTTAAAACTGATGTTTCGAAGTAATGCCCCAGAAGAACCAATATTTCCCATTCTGCTTCATAGCATATCTTTTAAAAAAGTAAAAAATTATCCAATTAATTTCCTTTGTCATTGTTTTTTAAATGCAAAAAGTTTGTTTTATAACCTTGGAAAATTTCAGAAGTTAGTAACCGATATATTTTCAGATATGAAATTTTAAAATTATTGGGTGTTTAAAAATATGAGCGATTTTTCAAAAATTCTTCCAAAATAAAAAAAAAAAAATTACATTAAAAATTTAATTTTTTGCCCTCCACTGTGTCATATGTTGCAAACAATAATATTCTGAGATTCTCAGTTTATTTGTTAACAAAAAGTCATTTCAACTTTAAATTTGAAAAAAAAATCTAATCCTTTAAAATTCAAAATCGTGATATCACATTCACACACAAACAGTGTATGTACAAAGTTTGAATTCGATACCTTATCAGGAAGCAATTTAAAAATCTATGACCATTTTTTAACCTTAGTGACAAGACCAAGAGTGAACTAAATAAAAGCTCATAAAATAATAATTATTACAAAGCATAAATTTTTCAGGAGCCATTATGAAAGCTCCGGTACCAGTTCTGAAAGTACCGATTACAAAATTAACAACGGTAAACAACATTAAAAATGTGTAAACAGTATTAGAAATCATTCAATTGGGTCACATGATTATTCACAGAGGCTTATGTGTAAATGGAAGGAAGACGACGGTCTTCTGAACAGGTCTTAAAGATGAAACTCATTCGTGTCTCCTTTTGCTAATGGCAGCTGTGTGAAGAAGCGTTGCATGTGAGTGAAGCTTAAGAATAATTTTGATAAAGATTGGAGAAAACGTTGATGTTAACTGTGATTTACTTTGTAAATTGAAATGCATTTCTTTCACTGTAATTTATATGGCTAACTATATACTAGTAGTTAAACGAATTATTGTAGCTCTATTACCCCCAGTTGTAGTTAGAGAAATGCAATGAATGTGTCAAGATTGACTTTCAGGGTATTTCATTCATTGACGCACTGGGGGCTAGAGATATACTCATAATATAATTCAATAAATATTACAAATATGTATATGTAATAAATTTTGTAGGTACTTGATGATTCTTTACAGAATATATAGAATGCTAGAATTGCATAGATTCGTCAGGTCTATAATGGAAAACAAAAACCTTGTAGATGTGGCATAGTTAAAATACAGTTTATTTCTGGACACTTAATTCTAGCAGCGCATATTCTCGGTCATGTGCCATTTTGGGTGCTTATAGCACCCCAAATTTATACAACTAGTCACATCTTTACACAATGGATGAAGTAGAGAAATGAGCAGTACATGTTGCACAGAAAGAGGAACGCAAGAAAGCGAGTGTGCATTTCAGCAAAGATATATTTTTAGAGTCAGTATCTTTATTTAAATTTTGAATGGTGATTGGACAAGAGCTGACTGCACTGCAGGATTAATAAGATGGCATAATGTTGATTAGTTTTTAGATTATGCACTTTAGATTTATATATTAGTAGTTTTTAAGACAGGAAGGGGACATAGCCAAATTAAAATAAGGAATTAAGAGGACTATTGCTAAATTAAAGTAAGTAGTTTTCTTTCATATTTTATATCTGTCACAACTATGAATATACCGTCTTGCTGTACTTTATTCTTTTAAAAGGGGAGGAATTTCAAAAGGAGATGAAATTACAGAAATTCATCATTTGTGTCTGAAAGAAAATTTGTCTTTAATGTTTGTGTATAGAATAAATTTTTTAGTGTTGTATTTGAGAATTACATAATTTGTGATTCTATGACAGTCTGAATATTCTTTTAGGCAATGATTTTGTAATATGAATTTTATTTTTTAGAATAAGGGATTTTTAGTGTTGCTTTCAATGCATGAATTTTGGAAAGTTGTGAAACTATTGCATTCTTCACACATGATTGAAAGAGCTGCTCTCTTCTTGCAATCTTGCTTGGAATTTGGAATACTTACCAAAAATACAGAAAATTATATCCTTTACAGTTTCATTTTGCTTAAAAGTTTTGTATTTGTTTATTTTAAGTAGTACAAGTGTTATTATTGTATCAAATAAAAATCAGACTTATTTGTCATAAATTATATCACAAATTCTAGATCTAAAGATGGCAAATTTGTTATTTCATGTGACATTATACAGGATGTTGGAAAGCTGGCTAAGTACTTCCCCCCCCAAAAAAAAAAACTGGCTTGTACTTACTAATCAAAAATAAAATAAAGAATTTTATGAAAAGAGTGTATATTGTAGATATAAAGGCTGTGTAAATATACAATTCAATTTTTTATATGGTTTCTAGAATGAAATTTAAAATTAGTAAAACACGTATGACTTTTTATTAAGTTAAATACAAAAAATGCTATACATGCAAAATTCATGGAACCATAAAAGAGTATATGATGATAATGATAATATATGGTAATATAATTCAGTATGAATTTTCTGCTTAAGATCACTTTTCAATGCTTATTGCCCATGGAGATTATATGATCTTAAACTAAATTTACAAAACGACTGGAAAATAAAAGTTGTCCATTTTGGCAATTGATGGAACTTGTTGGATAAACTTCATCTTAAATTTATAGCTAGTCCCATGAAATTAATCACACCTTGCTGTATAATTTTTCAGGTGAAAGCGCAGAGTAACTTTTTATATTAAAGCATAATGAATCCTTATTAACTAGAATTCAGTAAAATATTCATAGAGGAGGAGGATCATATACAGTCAAAAGTCTTTAATCCGGGCTCGTCGGGACTTCGGCGATTCCGGATTATCAGTTTTTCTGGATTATAGATCATCAATTTAAATCTCGTAAGATGGCATGCAGAAATTATAAAATTAAAAATATTAAACCGTAATTTATGAAATAAAGAGCAATTATGATCTAAAGGGTATCAAAATTTTGGAAAAAAAAAAAAAAAAAAAAAAAAAAAAAAAAGCTTAATATTTATTTGTTTACTTTATTAAACATTTCTTTCAACGGGTGCATGCGTAAAGCATACATTATGCATAGTCGAAATTAGAAAATTGCAACCAGAAAACTATTTGATGTGTATTCGTGATATTTATAATGACGAGGAGTTTGATTTAAATTATATCAAAGATGGAGTACATCGAGATGAAATACTACATTTAGTAAGGAATTATAAGCCGAATAAAATAAAAACATCTTCCCTGAAGATAAGGATAGTGCTGGCAGATCAACTTCCAGTTCATTGCACGCCGCGAAGTCCCTCCGCAGAGCAGCTAGAAATTGATAAACGGATTTCGGAATGGTTAAAGAAACAAAGGATATGCCTTTGTCCATTTTTTGCAGCAATTCCACTTTTTGTTTGATGGACATCGAAACATGCTTTTGCTTTGTAGATCCTTTGGCAGCTCCAGAATCGGAAATTCTTTTTGACATAATCGAAAGTTCAAGCTTACTTTTATAAAATTGCTCTAACAGTCTGCAAAAAATAATAAGCCGGATCCAATTAGAAGATTAAGGAACAACGCAATCTGTAACATAACTGAAATATATAATTCGATAATTTTAGCTTAGCTTATACTGTCCGTTATACATTAAACGCGTATGTATAAACGTATTATGCGCATGCGTGAATGCATTATGTGTTTATGCATGCGCAGAAAGTTTGTAGCTTTGAGGTCTAGATTATAGATCATTCCGGATTATGTACGTCTGGATTAAAGACTTATGACTATATAAACTTAAGTTTCATAATCATCGTAATATATTCATATGTTGATCTGATATCCTTGATTATGAGTCTGCATCAGGATTTCAGGGACATAAAGGCTTTATGTAAAATTTCCAGGGATACTGATTTCTATTTCTCTTCTACTAATTTACAGAAACCATCATACATGGTGGGTTTGCACTTAGCTTTTTTTCAAGAGACCAATTCAGTAGTCCTTGTTTGAAACTTCAGGGACTTGGCAGGAATATGTTGCAAAGATATGGATGCAATATTTGTATCAGTCGTCATTTTTTCAAGGAACACAGTGGTACTTTTTAAAGTATGATTTATTGTTCCGTCTTGATGAAGTTTCACTCTCTGAAAGTCACCGAGATAAAGAAATGGAATTTCTTCTGTAAATATTGGATGCAAAACTTCCTGTTGATAGTACGTTAAGTTGATTTTAACATTTTTTTTCCATTCTTATTTTGAATTTCTTACTGTAAGAACCCTGCAAAAGTCATAAACCCTTTACTGAAACATTCTTTGAATTGGCAAAACCAAATTTGTGCATTTTTTACTCTTCCTTTTTGATAATAAATACACCTTTTTTTGTAGCCAATAATTTAGATAAACCTATGCTTAAGGGTCACAGTATATTGTTTCCTTACTGAATAGGTGTCATACATAGTTTTTACAAATTGCTTCTAGCTTTTTTAGCTTGTAAATCGTGGTTCAATATTTTATTTATTGTTGCTACAGATATATTTAAAGACTTTGTAATTGATTTCTGCATTGCCAAATTTTATCTTGTTGCCAATGATTTAACTTTACAAACATTAAAAAGAATATGTACTTTTTTTTTGTTATTTGTTTGGAGTTTTCTTTCCACGTAGAAGTAATAATTGAAAGTTCTTCCCCTTTCAAATTAATAATCTTTCTTATTTTGCACTCAGAAATACTATTACCATGCCTTTCACAACATTTTTCAATTATGGAAAAAGAAGATTTCTCTTCGGAAATCAAGAAAACATATCTTTCCGTCCACAGCTTGTTTACATGTAACATTTTAAAAGAAGAATAAATTTAAAAGTAGCAGATGATATTTCTCATTTCACATTATAAGCTGTGTCCAGAAATTTTTATAAAAAGTGTTAGTTTTTAAAAATTTTTTTGTCAAAGTTATTCTAAAAATGTGTAAACACCCTCTGTAGTAATTTTTCTGTAGCCTATTTCTAATATACATGCTAATGTATCAAAATTGAAACCTTCATTTAAATTTCTTAAATTTTTTTTCTTTTCACAACAATTGTATTCTATATAGAAAAATTTAATCTCTCTGCTCATCTCTTCCATAAAATATGTTAAAAGCAACAAAAGGAATAACTTCCATGCTTTCAAAAGCCAATTTTTAGGTGCATCTATTTCATCCACAGAGGGTGTTTATGCATTTTTAGAGTGATTTAAAAAAAAGGCAAATGTTTTTGAATAAAAGTTTCTGGTAACAACTTATTCTTTGAAACAGAAATATTGTCTGCTACTTTGAAATGTATTCTTAAATCAAAATGTAAACAAGCTGTGGATTGAAGGATATGTCTTTGTACATTCTGGGGGGTGGAATCGTATTCCATAATTAAAAAACATTGGGAAATAAAATAGTATTAAAATTTATAAGTGCAAAATAAGTATCATTATTATTCAGAGAGGGAAAAATCGTTAGTCATTGCTTCTACATGGAAAGAAGACTTCAAATGAATACCTGAAAAAGGTATGTACTATTTCTAAAATTAAATCGTTGGTAACAAGAGAAAATCTGCTGATGCAGAAATCAATGGTAAAGTTTTAAATACATCTGTAGCAACAAGGAATAAAATATTAAGCCAAAATTTACAACTTAAAAAAGTTTAAAAACATTATGTTCACGAGCTTTTGCCATGAAAAAATTTGTAGAACCCCGTATGAAAATTATTTAGTAGGACATAAATGGAAATTCAGTGCGACCCTTGATGAAGCATAGGTTTATCTAAATGACTGCAACAAAAAGGTCTATTTATTATCGAAAATGAAGAGAAAAAATGTACAAATGTGGTTTTGTCAGTGTAAAGAAAGTTTCAATAAGGAGTTTGTGATTTTCTTACAATGGGAAATAAGAAGAGTGGGGGGAAAAGTGTTAAAATATACTAAATGCACTATTAAGAGAGAGTTTTACTTCTGATATTTACAGAATAAATTTTATTTCTTTTCTTTCTCAGTTATTTTCAAAAAGTGAAATTTCAACACAAACCAAGAAGTCATACTTCAAAAAGTATCACTATATTTCTTGAAAAAGTGATGGCTGATACAAACATTGCAGGGTAAAAGTTATTGGTGGGTGGACTTTGTTTGATGCCAGAATTTGAGCTACTAAAAAAGTTGTATAAATCAGAATTCATTGCTTTTGTCTATGAAGTATTTTTTCTGTGCTAAAGCTTTTTTGCTCAGATATGTTAATAGAATGAATTGCAGATGTCTCATGCTTACACCTTTCCTTGTGCTTTTTGATTTGCTCTGCTCTGACCATATTTAATATTTTTTAAACAACTGGTTTTTATAATTAATTATCTTCGATCTTTATGATAACATTTATCAAGTGTTACATATAATTTTTTTTAAAAATGTTTTTCACATCATACTTTCATGAGTAATTACAGTTATTAAAATTGAATTAGTATGACGTCTAAAAACATGTTAATATTTTTCAAAATACTTGAGAATAGTTATGATTATTAATATTATCTAAATATGAAAATTTACTTTTTCTATAATATATATATTTATCTTGATTTTTAAATGCTAAAATTGTATTAAATATGATAAAAATTATTAAGTTTTTACAAGTACTTCAGTGAAGCATACAGTTTATTTTAATTATTATTTTTAATATCTTACAAAGAAATTTTTCTTGGCTCTTATAATTGTAGCATCAACATAAAATTTCAAATCTGAATGATCTGGAGAATTCTAAACTAAAATAGTTAATTATTTCATTTGAGGAGTTTGTCATTATAAAAGATGTGGCAGAAATATCTCCCCGATTTCAGATATAAATAATTAAGCAATTATAGATGTTATTCAAAATTTTATTTCGCAGTTTGAAAAAACAAAACTTACCATTTTGTTTTTACATTCATCTTCACTTCATTTTGAAAATTTATATGGTCCAAATGTGACTTTCATTGTCTATGCATTTTTGAAGTCTCGCCTAGAAGTTCATCACAACCCTTCTAGTTGCAATTTCTTGGAGGATAACAGCTTTCAGTTCCTTGGTTGTTCGTAGGTTATTCCTATAGATTTTTGACTACAGATGCCCCAGAGATAGTCAGAAGATGATAGATCTGGGCAATGTGCTGGCCATGAAATGTCACATCATAATGAGATCAGAGGCTCTGGAAACATCTTTTTTTTCATAAAGATCATTGGTATTCTGACTGTGAGGTCTGTAGTGTCATCTTGTTGGAACCACACAGCCAGATTCATATGCTCATACAATTTTGGTAGAAGGAAGTTATATAACATATCCACAAAATGGGCAAAGTTACTATAACTGCTTTGCCATTCTAAAGAAAGTATGGGCTTATACCTCCAAAATTTGCAACGGCACATCAAACAGTAAGCCATTCACTGTAAAGAGGTCTTTAATGGATTTGTTTTGGATTGTTTGGAGCCCAGTAGCAAAAATTATGTTTGTTCCCATGTAATGACAAATGAAAATGAGCTTCATCACTTGAAAGAAGAATAATCTCATATGGAACAGTCTGCAGAATAGCCTCAGAAGCTGCATTTTGGTTAGCCCAGTAATGGTCATTAAGTTCCTGCATGACCATTATTTTTTATGGATGGAATTTCAGATCTAGGTGTAAAATTCTTCTTACACTCCGATTAGAAATTTCCATAGCAGTAAACATTGTAGAGATTGGAGAATGGCTTGTCTCACTGCACTGACTTGTTGTGGTGTCCATATGCTATGCTATGAAGTCTGCCAGGAGGTTTATGTTTTAAAGCCAAACTTGTTCTTTGGAAATTTTTGTAAGAAAATAGTTTTCTTATCAGGAAGTTTGGCATTTCAACCCAACCCAAAATGTCTCGAAATAATCACTGTGAAGTGATTAGCGACTCTGATGACAGAGTCGCTTATTTTTAAAATACACATCTATCATAAAAGCAGGTTCCTCACTGCTCCACATCACGATGGCTACTGAAATAGTAAAACATCTACAACTCAAAGCTGTAACCCAGTTCAAGGCACGCAACTAGTGCCAGAACAGTGGTAGTGGAAAATCGGGGAGTTATTTCCGCCACATCTTGTATTATTAAGTATTCTTGGTAAAATATTTTTTTAGGACTTGCAAATTGATTTATAAATTTATATATCTATATTTTCAATAAAGAGGGTTAAAATTTTGAAATGTTTATTAAATTCAAAAAGGAAAATAATTGTGTAAAATGTATTTTTATCCTTTTGTTAACTATGAGCTTACTGTATTATTTGCCTTAATAATTTTCACCGAAAGAAATTGATGCTATTTTTATGGATTATTCAAGATACTTGCTGGCAATTAAGAATCGAACTTCGGCTATACACTACTGTAAACTAGTATCAGACATAGGTGATGATCTCAGAAAGCAATTTCAGTTTATCTCTGAAGATGTTTAAGTTTTGAAATTGTATAATGATGATAATTTATATTATGTTTAGAGTAGCTATGGTCAAACTTTGATTGTAGATAACTTTGAGTTTCACTCATTGAATGTTACCATATATGTTAATATAAAATTGCTTATTGAAAAGAAATGGAATCAGTCATAATGTGATACACTTTCAGAAAATTCCATTTTATGTCTTTTATTTAGTATTATTATGCAAAGATTAATCTTTATATTATAATAATATATGTTTTTAATGTTTATAATTTGATAATAATCGCATGTACAATATAATCTACATAATTTAATTATGTACATGCTAACATTAAATAACTAAATGGAAATTCATATAGGATTTCCATTTAGTTGTTTAATAAATGTGTGGATAAGAAGACACATCAATAACTGTGATTATTTTACTCTTTTACGTGTTAAAAGTTGGTTCAAATTAAATAACTGAACCTTTTTTTTAGATTGCTAATTCCAACATAAATTTTAATTATTGAATTGAAACACAGATTACTAGTTCTCTGAATATAGAGCCTGCAAAGTTCTCATTATTGTTTTTAAGACAATTTGAGACTTTTTTGCCCCCTTTATAAAAATTTCAAAATAAACAACCTGCAGCTTTTGTTAAAAAATACTTTTATTGCACACTTTTTTCTTTTTTGTCTTTATTATTAAATTTGTTACTTCATACTAATTGGTTATCCCTCGACAGATTTTTATTCTTCAGACAGTGATAATCTTAATTTAGAAATACAAATTTGGTTACTTATTCGCAGTGTACAGATTAGCTATGAATTTTCAGTTAGATGATTAAATTTTTATGCTTAACATTTTTATAGTTTATAAAATTTTTCTATGAGTTTAATTTTTTTTAATTAAATGAAAAGTATATAGATTTTTGGTGGAATAACTATTTTTTCTTCAGAAATGAATAATTTTAAATGTTTATTTATTTATTGAGTTTATGAAATTCTTACATGTCAAATAGTGATGAAGCTATTATAAGTATCAGAAACTTATGCCAAGTATAACATATTATGAACAAAAAATATTATTTAAAAAATTATTCTTATTGTATCCATCAAAGCATATGAAATGAAAATGAATAGGTTTTCTGCATGTCTTGATTTCTAATGAATATGACCATTCAAACATTGGTCATATTAGATATATCCAATATCATGTTAGATACATCCGAATATAAAATTAATGTTAAACTAAAAAAGTATTTTTTTTGTAGCTTTAATCCTACATTTATAATTTATTTTCAAAAGTATACACAAATTGCATAAGCTATCATATGCATCCACAAATATATATAATTTGAAATTATTTTTAAATTTCACATAATATATTCATTCAATTAGTTTTGGAAAAGAGTAATTATTTTTTTGTTTTTATATAACTTGTTTTATCTGTTAAACTCAGTAGTGTAATAAATTTTGCTTAATACAGTTTGACAAAATTATTTCTTTACATCAGGGTTTGCATTCCTTATTTGTAAGTAAATCATATGCGGCATATTCCATATGAATAGACCTTATTAATGAGCTAAAATTTTTTGTCTACAGGTGTTTAGAACCAGATTTAATTAAAATGTTCCATTTTACATTTAAAAAAGATACTTGTAACATGAGATTGCAGTTTGACAAACTATCTTAAATGAATATTTTTTAAAAGAAAATCTCCCAGTTCCTTATAAAAGCAGAAAACTAGTTGAATAATTAATTCAATATCCGTTTCTTGTTTATGTCTTATTTCCTGTTAATATTAATTTATTAAATCAGGTTTGATAAGCTGTACAATAGCTCTGTAAAAAGAAACTTTTTCCCTTAGATATTAAAAACTAAAAGAATTTATCTTTTTTCTGTAAGTATGTTTAAAAATTTTTTTTTTTTTATTTTCATTTTTCTTAGTATGAAATACAGTTTTCTTTCTGAATTTCAATGCAGAGTTATTCATATCTTTCATTTTAATTAAAAATTTTATATGTTCTTATAACATAGATTTTTACATAGTAATCATACCTTTATAGATTTTATTTTTTAAGTGATAAATCAAAGTATGACAAAATTTTTTTTGTTAAAAAATACAGTAAAATCTCCATTCCTAAATCTAAAATTTTTCCATCCGTCAAATTAAATTTTTTAGGTATTTAATGACAACAAATGGTGCAAAATTTACCCCAAATTCCAAATTTTGTATATGTGTGCAGGATTTATGTCCGTTATGTACAATACCTTATTGGGAGTATGATACATTTCATAAGGTAACTTGCCTGTAAATATGGCTGAAATCATTATTTCTGTATTTAATTGACATGTACTCTTTGTACCAATCATCAGTACATTCCTTATGTTGTTTTAATAACAAATATCTATTTTTCTAACATATGTTTCTAGTCAGCAATAAAAAATTACAAATGTATGTTATTTGTTTTATTCAGTAATAATACAATTATAATTATGATTTTTGAAAGTTAGAAATCACACAGTAGATTAATTACTTCCATGTTCAAAAAGCTGGCAGGAAATGCTTGTAGTGTTATTTGATATGTGAAAATACATTATTTAGTCATTTTCGAAGTAATACCCATTGAAACACTCACACCTACACTTTTGACATTCCAGAAAGAGTTAGGAGAATGCCTTTTCTGGTATTTGTCATAGATTGGCCATCTCATCATTTTTGGCAATTTCACTTATCAGAACATATCAACCCTACAGAACTAACTATACTGATAAGTGATATGGCACTATACTGATAAGAATAAGTAATATGGCAGATAAGGTGGTTGTAGTGTGACAAGGATCTGTATTTGCTCAAAGAAACCAAACCTTATTTGCTGAAATGCACCATTGCATCAAATAATTAAAAGATACAATTCTGAATAACACAACCTATCGTTATATGTTGAAGAACAAGGGTTGCTACTGCAATAAGAGCCAGTGTAAGTTGTGTAAATTTGCAAGAATATAGTTTTAAGATTAAACAGGACAACTTTCTTCATTTGCAGGAGTAAAAATGATGAAAGGGAAGCAATAACAACAGATAAATAATTTGACAAAGTTCCATCTAGAGAAGAGTAAATGAAGTACTTGGCATCATCTATTGACAAAAATTGAAGTAACTGAAATACTTTCTTTTATTAAAAACTGGAAGATGGATTAGAATTGAGATTATTAACTAGAACTTTATTTATTTTTATTTATTTCTGATTCACCGCAGGTATACAACTACTTTGAGTTTTGACCTGTTTAATCTGTGCAGCCTATGAAGGCCATTCACGGTTTTTAGTACATTAAGGTGCTACTGCACCTCGCCAGGGGACGTGACATTAGAACAAGGTGCAATCATTCCGTGGCGAAGTCAAGCTGACTATACGAAAATTGGGAAATTAGTACTTGGAAAACAAAATCATCCAGCATTCAAGTCCATGCATGATGCATTCGGTCAGGATAGTAGTGTAAGGTTACTGAGATAGGGTGCGCAGTCCAGCAGGTAATCAGGAGTAGAACCACAGCAGTGGGCGTGGTGAGATCACACAATACACAGCCCTTAACACATTTTAATTAGTTCAGAGTCTCTAGCCTGCTTCCAGGCAAATAGCCAATTTTGACAGTAACACAGTACTTGGTTAAATAAAGTTAGATAGAGCACAAAACACAACTTCATATGTACACTATTTACATATTTACATCACCACTGCGTATTATGGTGAATTGACCGAGGTCTCTTCACCACGCTGTCCACCGCAGGGTCATAATTATCGAGTTCTCTTAGTGTGTGCACTGGAGAATTATCTATTTTTTCGAAGAAGTTGTGCGCCTCCATGAGGATTTGTTCAGGAATGGGCTTTATTTTCAAGTCTGCATGAATGATGCTATTTCGTACAAACCACGGCACGTTAGTGATGGCTCTCAAAATTTTGTTTTGAAGGACTTTTAGTTTTCTCCTATCCCTCTTATTGGCAATTGCCCACGCTGGGGCGGTGTAGAGCATAACTGGCCTAATCATAGTGAGATAGATCATGCGTTTAGTTTTTAAGCTCAATTTCGATTTCCTACCTATAACAGTATAAAGCGACATGAAAACTCCGTTTGCTTTATTTACTTGGTTGGTTACGTGCTCTTTGAAGGTGAGCCTATCATCTAGGGTAACTCCCAAGTACTTTGCGGAATTAACTAGAACTGAAAGCTTTCTATGAATATATAACACTTCTAGGACATCTAATTCATCAAGAGACCTTTCTTTGAATAATTTTGGCTGCAGAGAAATGGAAAATGTGATTGTTTTGACCAGCATTATATGGAAATGGAGAATTTATATGTTTCTTTTTTCCTAACATATATTCCACGCTCCTTAGTGCTAAATTTCAAGGCTTCCTTATTTTGATCAATGTACATTAAGACATGTTGGCTAAAAATACTGTATATACCACAGGAATCCACAGTTGGAAAGGGGCCTTTAAATATAGATATGCCAATTTTATTGATGGGAACAAATTTTCATCTAAACACAATGAAAAATATTCTACACTATTAAAATATATGATATATTCTTAAAAAGTGTCAATACTGTGGATACTGACAATATATTTGCTTTTTTTATGCCAATTTTATTGATGGGAACAAATTGTCATCTCAACACAAAAATATTCTACACTATTAAAATATTTGGTATATTCCTAAAAAGTGTTAATACTGTGGATACTGACAATATATTTGCTTTCTTTTTATAGCATAAATTTCTGGAACTTTTCGGATCATATAAAGAATATCCCTTGGGTATTTCTGGGAATATTCTAGTATACGATTGAAATATTGTGGAATTTTTCGGGGACATATCGGAGATATGCTTATATTGTATGGTACATAATTATATCTGAACTTCAAATTCCTTACTTGAAATCAGTGCACATATATGCAAGCACTGCTGCTATTGAATACAAAAGAAAATATTACATGCGTATTTACCATAACATTAAATTTAGGTATTCTTCTGTTATCAGGAGTGGATTCAAAGATTGTGTATATATATATATATATATATATATGTAAGATATAAAAAATTACGATGGCTTTGCTCTTTGCGAACCAGCAACCTTTAATTAATTTTCTGCAATTTAGGATCTTCCCCCTAGACAAGTACCTTTTAGAATTTGCTAGCCTATTACGTAACTGCTACTATAAATACTGAGTACGTGCCACTTTTGTCAAACTGCTTCCTAATATCGCTGCTACAAGACTCCAAACTGCTCTGTTCCTCCTTCTTTCCTTTGTTAAAATTAGTTATGATGCAGAGTTTGAATTCAATCCTACTTAGTTAAATTCACTATGCATATGTAATTTAGAGATTTTTCATCTAAAAGGAAAATGATCTGCTAATTGAATTAAATAAAAATGTGCGATTAAAAGCTAAATTGATTTGTGTCGTCTTTGGATATCCTCCTTACCATTCTGCAAAAAGCCATACCTGAACATCGATGCCAAGCTTCAGAGTGGACATGCGCTCTGTAAATGCGAAGCATAGAGCAGCGCTCCGCACACAAGGAAATGTTCGCCAAAACTTTTTAAATAATTAGTATTTTGATACACTTCTTTCTCGAACATGAAGGAAGACATGCAAAAGGAAAGTCAATTTTTGGTCGAACATCACTTCTAAAAACTTTACTTCAGGTGTAACTGGAACCATTTAGATGTAACTCAGGCTTAGAATGCTGACCTTGCTTCCTGCAAATGTGCACGCATATAGTCTTCTGTTTTGAAAAAGTGAAACCTTGTTTATTTGACTATTCATGGACCCTGTTCAAAGCAATCTGGAGCTACCTGTATTTTCTATATACATTTGATTATAAATTTGAAAAGCAATATAATTTTGATTAGCCAAATTATTTTATGATTGACCTTCTCTCGATCGAACCCAAACTCTTCACAAAGCAATAATACAATATTTTGTCTAAGTTGAGTAAAAAATGTATGAGTATATCACTTCTCACCATCAATACCATATTTATTTGAAAATACGACCCATCGTATATTTTAGGAAGCAAAACTGGGTACTTAACATATTATTCTGTTTACTGGTCAAGTATCACAACTGTCAATTATAGATGACCACTTCCTTCAGAATTCTGCAGTAACAATTGGCGATTAGAGACCAATGCCAAAATTCTCACCAATGGTCAATGGGATAATATGTAAGTAACCATAAATGTTAGATTATAATAAAAGGTAAACTTCCTAATTATATACCACATTGGAACACCTTGCGTACAACCCAATTTTTTTGCCAACAATAAACATTGGCAATCTGTAACACTGTGCTCTGGCAACCTGATGCAAGCAGCAGAATATTCACGTAGTTAAGCATTCATATTTTATTTTATTATCATTATGGTACTTTGGGATTATCCCGTCGATCTGTAAACGCTCGCGAAAATTCTTTGATGCCATCATAATGAAAAGCAATTTCCAAAATAAACATTCTAAACACATTAAATTTATCAAATAATAACAAAAAATATAAGTGTAATAAAATGAATCAAAACAAAGTAAAAACCTGTATTTTTTTATAATTACACATTGAATTATTCTTGAATCTAATCATATACATTATTATAAATCCTTTCATCGGCCAAAAATTCTTGATAACTTTTAAAGCACAAACAAGTCATCATCCTTGTGCACTCTAGAAGTATATGATTGACTTGGTTTTTGCACTTTGTAAAAGGCTCTCATCTATCTCTACAATTTTGTTCAAATCTCCTGTTTATTCGAATCATGTTGTAGAAGGCTACGAGTGCACACTTCCCTCATATAGTTGTTTCAATCAACAATCGTCTTTCTGGTTAAATCCAGCTGTTTTTCTCCCCATTCAATTGATGTTAATTCTTGCAACCAGCAGTAAATAAACCGGAGAGCAGTCAGAAATGGGAATTTTTAGCTATCCAACCACACGCTGTTTCGAATAGCTACTCGTTTATTGCACCCCTTTACATTGCAACGTGGTTGCTTATCGGTTTTGATATACAGTGCCATATCCTGGCCATTAAGGCACATTTTCTTAGAAGAAATGATTCCATACTCTTGAAAATATGCCACTGCACTCTTTTCGGTGCTAGGCAAATTCCAAATTCGAATCATTTTGCGGCCGAGTTAAAAAAAAGCAGCATATTTCAACATGCTAAAGAAAACTTAACTCACATAGTCGAGAATTACACAGTTATTTGCGGTTATTGGCGCAGAAGTTACCTTTTGGCGATAATATCGGGCTTGTGGAAAATGGTTGACGTGATAATCCCAAAGTACCATTATTTGATTTGCAGTGTTATTAAATTTGTAAGGAACACTGCAGCATTTTATCAATGTTTTATCAAATGAGTATTTTTAATTTTTTATGTGTTAATCAAAAAATTTAGTGAAAAT